CTGGTCCGTGAGCCGGGCTGCGGCTGCTGCTCCGTGTGCGCCCGCCTGGAGGGCGAGGCGTGCGGCGTCTACACCCCGCGCTGCGCCCAGGGGCTGCGCTGCTATCCCCACCCGGGCTCCGAGCTGCCCCTGCAGGCGCTGGTCCTGGGCGAGGGCACTTGCGAAAAGCGCCGGGACGCCGAGTACGGCGCCAGCCCCGAGCAGGTTGCAGGTAACGCGGGGCTGGGACAGCTAGTTCGGAGAAACTTGGAGGGCAGCGGAGCGCTGGGGGCGGCCGTGCCGCGGGGGACAGGCGTGGGGCCCGGGGCTCCGCGACCGCTTGAGCGGCGAGAGAGCGGAGTCCTCGACCCGCAGTGGGGCGGCTGCTGGGAGGGGGACCCGAAAGTCCGGCCCGGGGAGGGGAGCTGGAGTCAGAGCGTGCGGGAGAGCCCTGGCTGCTTACTGATTTGGTCGGGATATACGGGCAGCGGAAAGGCATCTCGGGTTACCCTAGTCTTCCCCGGCTGGAACGTACCTTGACTTCTATTTTGGAGGGGGGATTTGCCGTGGGGGGGGCGGGGGAGGGGGGTGGGCCAGCCCCGGGGGAGTGAGAGCTTGAGGCTTATTTGGGGAGCACAGCTTGAGTCGGTGACCGCCGACCAGAGGTTCCTGGAAAGGTGCCGGTGGAGGACGCTGCTGGGGGGCGGAGGCTGGCGGGTGCCGGTGACTTCGGGGACGTCTGGGGAGAACGGGCGCTAGGAGGAGGCGGCGGCTCGTCGAGGGACCCTTCCTTCTGCGATTGTAAGGTGGGAAGAAAGGACTTGCTGGCACTTTGTGGGGTGGGGAGAAAGGAAGACGAGCGCTACTCGTGCATCTCGTTTAGGGGGAACAATGCAAGAGGGGCGCTTGGGAGGCTCAGCCCAGCGGTTCAGTCTGTGTAACTTAAGCCGGGTGGCGGGCTGCAGCCCCGGGTGAGCCTGGGACCGCCGTGCCGCTCACTGGAGCATCTGGGCCCCGGGGCGGACGGCAGGGGGATGCGGGGCGCTGGACGCAGCCGTTCTTACCGCAGGGAGGTGTCACCCCCGTCCTAATCCGAGGGATTCTTCCTGTCCGGTAGAACGGGGCGGGGGGGGGGGGGCGCTGGGAGCCTTTGTAAGGGATCCTCATTCCCCAACCCCCCCCAAACCGGGCTGTCAGAATCTCACTTTTGTTTTTGTTTTCCGTTCGCTTTTAAAATTGCAAAAACCTCCCGCCCCCGTGGCCTGGAGGAAACTAATTACTTTCTTTCTTCTTGGACACCGTTGGGAAAGGTGTCCATTGCCTGCTGCTGTTGTTTAAAAAGCAAGCGAGTCTGACCAAGCTCCTCAAGCTTTTTAGAAAAAGAAAGAATAAGTGAACACGTTCTTGCCTGTAAGCTTCTGCGGCCCTAGTACAACTTTCCCCACCCCCCTCCCCAAGACCCCCCCCCCGGCCCCCCTACTCTTCCTCCAACCAGCTGTTGTGTTTCCCCTGTTCTCCTTGAGGATGAAATTGGGGGTCGGAGTTGAAATATTTCTTCTATTGCTCTGGCTCATTTTGACCTTGAGTGCAGAGCAAGTTAGGGCTTCCTCCCAGGGAGCCCGAAGAACCACTGAGTCCTTTCTTCTGCCTCTGCTTGCTTCCCTCCCCAGCGTGTCTCGCCTCCAAGTTAACCCTTCTCTCCTGCTTCTCTTAGAAAGTAATAAAAGGAAAGGTCTTGGTCCTGCCTTCCTCCTCCATTACCCCCCCTTTGCGCCCCCCCTGCCCCCCCACCAGGGAGGTGCTGTGCTTTCGGAGCTGAACTCTGACCAACCAAACATCTTCCTCAGCAGGATGAACTTTTCCGAAGGCCTCCAAGTTCATAGACGCGCTTGGATTTGGACCATCTTAACACAGTGCGTGGTACAGGTCCTTCCTGACCATCGTAGAATTGTTTTTTCATTCTTCATCCTTCTCGCTGGCAGCCCGAAAACCGGCTCTCCTGCTTCCAAGCCCCAGAACAGATGCAGGAGATTCTCTCCATTCACTCCTGCCTAGAGCCCCAGAGGGGGGAGTTGTCAGGGGAGCCCAGGGACAATGGGGTGAGTTCATGGGAAGAATGTCACTCTGGATTTTCTGCCTGGTTATGGGACTCCTTTCCGCCAGCTAGCCCCAGCTGCCTCCTCAGCCTTCTCCTCCCAGTGCCCAGACAGACGCCTTCCGCATTTTTCTCTTGTGTTCCAGACTGGGGAGAGGGGACACCAGGTTGGGGGCGGGGGTGGGAGCTAGATGTAGAAGCCCAGTGGGCACCCTGGAAAGGAGTGACCCAGAGCAGGGTGCTCAGGGGTCAGTAGGGCTGGGGGAAAGGGGGCACGGTGGGGAGAAGCCTGGGCTGGCAGGGATGCAGGGAAGACAGGGGCAAGTTTGGAGGCTTCTGTGCAGGAGAGGGTCTTGGGCTGGGGCAGGGTTGCAGCCCTGCTTGGAGAGCGCGAGGGTCCGGGTTGGGTGCAGGGGCAGACACTGGCCCAGAGGGGACCATAGCGCTGAGTGCTGCTGCCTCCCCCTCTCCCATCCCCTTTTCTCCCCTCTCTGAAGAACCGGCTCTCTCCCATCCCAGCCTGCATTCCTCTTTGAGCAGGTTGCTTTTGAGAATTTTAAACACACCCTCTTATTTTGAGGCAGAAAACCCCAGCAGTTCCGGCTTTGCTGTTAGCTCTTTTGTCTTTGTTCCCAGGACTCAGGGGCCGTGTTGCTGACTTCCTGGGGACGGCTGGGATGCAGGGGGCGGGGGTGGGCACATCTGCGGGTGCTGAGCCTGCGTCCCTTGGGGGCGAGGGGTCCGGACTGGTTGGTTCAGAGCCACTCGGAAGTGAGACTGAGGGTTGGAGTAGGTGAGCCTGGAAGAAAAATGGGGGGGGGGGGCTGAGATGTGGTGAGGTCTGGATCTTAACAGCGCGTGGGTGTGTTTGCTGGTGGAGTGGGCAGAAGTGCCTAGAAATGTCGGGGTAAGAAGAGGAAGTGGGCTGGGGCCCGGCCGGGCCCTTTCAGAATTCTGGGCCGGCGGGGCGACTGGCTCCTTCAGCATCTCCCCTGCCTCCTTCCCCGCCGGGTACAATGCCTGGGATTATGCCGAGGGGCGGAGCCGCCCAAGTGGCCGTCTGGCCCGCTGCACATATAAAGGTGCTATAGAAATGTGCAGTCATTCAAAGTCCCGGGGCAGGCAGGCCGGCAGGCGGGCGGGTCTGAGGAGGCTTTTGCATCTGCAGTTGCTGGGGGAGCGGGAGCGGGGGGGGGGCCCGCCAGAGGCGAGCCCTGATTTACAGTGGTTCCGTGCAGCTTCAAAAAAGGGGAGAAAAGCAATGGGGCTTCTGGCTCAAAGCGCTGTTTTGCATCTTGTCTTGCATAAATTTGCATACTGAGTTCAAAGTCGTAAAATAGACTTGGGGAATGAGTGGGACCCACTGTCACCGATTGCTAACACCACTACCTTCCGCCACCCTCCCCCCTTCTGGACAGAACACCCAGAACTAACTCTTCTAAGCTGCTCTGAGTCACCACTGGAAGGAGGAGATGGGGGGGTTGAGGGCTACTGCTCCTGGGTCTCTGGGAGGGAGCTGTGTAGTTCCTGGGCCACAGGACCCAGCAGGGTGTGGCTGGGTGCACTCTGGCCTTGGAGGCAGGTCTGGTCCGGAGGGTGTGGCTCTGACAGGTCCGGAACCCGCTAGGCAGGCAGTGTTTGGCCAGCTGCCTCCTCCGGCCATTGTGCATGGAGGGCTGGAATTTGAGTAAGTCATAGAATCTGGGTTTTTGCCTGCAGTCTCCTTACTCACCTTCCACTTATGTCCAGATTGTTCACTGAGATAGTTCCCTTTGTGTGGTAGCCATGATCCCATCCATTCCTTTGACAGAGGTATTTGAAGAAGCTTCGAGAAAAAAAAAATCGTACACAAGGTCCAAGGATCTTAGGAAAACAAAATCCAGGGCCAGGAATCTCTGAATTAGAAGAGGTGGTGGAAAGAAGAACCTAACTGTTCGTGACCACCGCAGGGGTCTATCTGTGCACCGGTTCTTGGTCAAGTCAGACTGTTGAGTTTCCTGGTAGGCAGAGGGAAGAGGGAAGCTTAGGTGGTTTTCACCGTTAGCTTACCTTAGCATTGAGCTTTAAAATGAAAATTTCAGGCAAATCATTCCTTTGGGTTAGGGGACGACATGGAAGTTAGTCCTAGAAAAATAACTGCGTGTTATTCGAGAGCAGGCGCACATTCAGTCACCACTGTCCAACATTCGAGGGCTTAATTTGAGAGACTCACTGTACTGTGGCCCATTTATCAGGTCAGAATATAGTTGGGGCTCAGGTTAGCTATTCCCTGCCGTAGAAAATTGGATGTGCAATTGCTAAATTTTGGTACCGGGAAGTTTCGAAAGTCCTTGGGTCCAGTGAAAAGCAGAACAGGAGGACAGTACCTGGCTGGGGTGGGTGGGGGGTGGGGCGGGGGGGGGCATGCACAGCAGGGGGTGCTGAAGGGAATGAAGATGAGCAGAAAATACACACAGGCTGTGCCCACATTTGGTTTTGTCGTTGACCCTCCTCATACCCTACAACAGGGTACCAACAACAACAACGAGAGGATTGGTTATTATTATTGTTGAAGAGCCTCCATGACCAGAGGCTACATTTAGTTTCAGTCTGTCCCTTCCTAGTGTTCCCAGTCCCCCTTTCCTCCCCTGCTTTCTCCATTCTGCCTTCTTAGCCACCCCCTCACCCCCACCCCAGCATTGGTCTCCCACGCATCTCCCACTGTGGTTAGGCCTTGAACACCTGGCTGGATGCTAAGTAGGTGGGAAGGGCTCCAGAAAATGGCATGGAAAATCTATCGCCCCCAGCCTTCCACGGGAATGCAGGTAGATGGAGACCAGGGAGGTGATTGGGGGTTGGAATGCTGCCAACCAGTCTAATCCTGAAATGATGGTGGTTGGAAGCCTCGCAGGGGCCAGGCTGTGTGGGTGGGGAAGTGGCCATGTTCCCTAAGCGGGTTTGTGCTAAGGCTGCTCCCGCTGACACCGAGGCACAGAGGAGCGAGATTATGCTTTTTAGTCGCCAGGGGAGCTGGTGTTCTGCTTGGCAGATGTTCTAGGCCTCTCTAGTACTTCTTGCGGTCTCTGGCCAGCATTTTGCTGAGGTGGCAGGCAGCTGCCAGGGGTTCAGCCACCTTCCCATCTGCGCTCATCCTTTTA